CTTCTCATAGGTATAGAGCATCCTGCTGTTTCTTCCCATACGTATAGAGCATCTTGCTGTTTCTTCTCATAGGTATGGAGCATCCTGCTATTCTTCTCATAGGTATAGAGTATCCTGCTGTTTAAATAAAATTGAAGCTCTTTACATCCAAGAACTAAATAAAAAAAACAAAAAAAACGACACTCGTTTCGGACACTTATTGCACTCATTTGCCCACTGAATATATTTGAATTGTATATATGCAGTCTTGGTGAGATCACACAGCAAATCAGGTAGACGGACCAATACGCCGTATAAGTCATTTGGCGGTGACGGACCAGCGATGATCATAAGCTGGTGGACTTGTTCAATATATATGTATATATACTACACAAGATGTATAATGAGTTAAATATTCATAACAAAGGTCAGTGATAAGGAAATACCTCGAGAGAGTGAAAACAATGGAATGAAAAATGTGACATCATCAGCCTAAAGCAGGACTGACCAGATAGACAGGTATTGTTTTAACAGGTTGACATCAAATAAACTCAGTCACAAGATCCATTCAATTGTGTAAAACCATACAACAGAACACATAAAATGATATAACCTGATAAAAGCCTCATGTAATCGATATAAATATCAATTACAGATATTACTTTTGTCAAAAGTGACTGAAGCAAAATCTTATCAGAAGTGTCATGAGAACAGATTACTAGCATGTCGTGACAATTTTGTTCTTGTTTCACAATACAGATAGCCAATAATGTTAGTCTTATTAACCTTGGTTTAAATCAAGACTGCTTCATTGGAACAATACTCTGATTAGCAGACATGCCAGTTAATTCCATAAAATAATTCGAAACTATATATACTCGATCAATACCATTTATACTTCCTTTAGAAATGGTACTACGCTGGTTGTAGATATTTGTGTAACAATACTTTTATAAAATTCAATCACAGCTGATTCAAGATTAACATGAATAATAAACTAAATTTGTAACATCAGAACGGTTTTTGTTTTCCGTTTAGCCATAAATTTCGGAGAAACTGGGATTTTCAACCTGAATGGCACTTTGGGAACACGCGAGTTTAATAGCCAGTTCAGAAACCCTTAAGGTTCAGGTTTTTACGTTCCTAATTTTGAGCTACTAACCAGAGGGAAGGCAGAAAGCCAACAGCACATGCTTCCATAACGGCTTTGACTGTCAGTTTTACAAAGAACCCACAGCCAAAAATGCAGAACGTTTTCAGTGACATCACGACCAATTTTCAGAAGACAGACTGTATGCGTCGAATGTAAGACTGTATTAGCAGACACAAGTTAAGCCAATACTCGTGTTAGGCTTACTGTGCACTCTGTAATAAGATGTTTTTGTGCAGCCTTCCGCTATAAGAATACATTTATTTCAAAACTAATTATTTGCAAGTAAGAGAGACCGCCCTTCTTCCCGCATAACCAAAAAACATGCTATGTTATGTGATATAGCCAAGTTATGCAACACGAAATAAATCACAAAAAATACAGTTGAGTAAACACGATTTAACGAGTTTGTTATTAAAATGTGTTATTATTAAATCCCGTTAATCGTTTAATAAATAATAGCTTCTAGTGTTGGTTTATTTGTTTGTTTGGAATTAAGCACAAAGCTACACAATAGGCTATCTGTGCTCTGCCCACCAGCGGTGTGATTCCGCAGACATACCGTTGTGCCACTGGGGGCTCTAGTATTGGTATTTACAACTTGAATAACACCTTATAAAGCGACACACGGGCTAAA